CACTAAAACAAATAAAATTTGAACGTGAGCTCACTGCATCTGCTGTGTAATGTAATTAAATTGAAGTGATAAATCAAAATGAACCTTAGCGTGATAAAAACAAAGATACATTTGTTGTAAATATGAAATTGTATTAGATTGCAGTAAAATTGCTCTACCGCCACGTGCCTTATTTAGACTAGTTCAAAGTGCTTTGCTGGTATTTATTAGGGTTGTACGAATTTTGAAATTATGTTTTTAGCTGCAATTATAGCAATGGAAATCGGATATGCTGTAATAAATAATACTATTTTGTAATAATTTCGGTCAATAAAATAACAATAAAATAACTGTTTCATACTAAGTTGTTACATTTATTCAAAGTATATGTTAATTTTTTGACAAACCAACTATTTTCTTTGATAGACATATTTCAGCACAAACAACTAGTAGAACTAACTTGACGCGGTTTTGTTGCTTTTTTAAAACTCCCCAATATATTTTGCAGTTTTCACTTATCACGGAAGTTAACCATTGACAGCCCTAATTCAAAATCAGCACAAACGTACGAGCAGCCGTGCGGTGATAGCCAATCATGGTGGTTTTTGCACAAGCTTCGTGTAAAATTACACCTCGCTATATTTGTCTGTGGTTCCAATGATCCAGAAAGATGTGATTACATTGCGTATCGACCATTTTGATTTGAAACAAATATTGACTTTACGTTTATTTTTTATTTTACGCTTTGCTTATATTGCAACCGTATTGTATTAGATATCTTTAGTAGTACGATTTAGTTTTGAATTGTATTATTACATGTAATAGAGGATCGTTGGCTCAGGGGTTTAAATACTTGACTTGACAATCTACAGGTCCTGGGTTCGCTGTACCAATCCGATTTTCAAATTTCGAATTTCATATGTACATAATTTACTCGATGTTCTTACGGTGAAGCAAAACATCACGATGCAACCTGCACATATCGATTTAGAAGTTTAAAGATATGTGTGAAGTCAACCGACACGCAATGGGCCAGCGTGATTGACTAAGGTCTAGTGACCCCTAGCTTAGGGTAGGCGTCGAGCTCCTCAGTGGGACATATAATGATCTGATGATAATGAATAGGATGATTTGGTTACACATACTCTTACAATTTTCTTAACATTGACAATCGGACTGCACTCAAAAACAATACATAGAAACACAATATAAGAAAATGTCTGTCTCTTTTCGTAACCCCTAAATCGCAGTCTTTAGCCTCCATATAACAACTCCGACAATTACAAAGTCCTACCAACGTCCCGGAGTCGAGAATCGAGGACCATAAACACGGATTGCACCTTCCCCGGAGTTATGCACGCGAGGCACGCCATCCCACAGTATTATACTCAAACGATAAATTAACTCTTCGCACCCCGATAGAGCTTTGTGCAAATCGAACATCGATGATTTATGAACAATTATCGATTAATTCAAGCAGCGATCGTAAGTTTAATCGATATTATTAAGGAGCCGAGTCGAACGCGAGAATCGACAGTAACTAAATCACAAACGCTGGCGTGCTTGTTAATTAACACTTTGATTTTTATATTGTCGACCACTAGTACACTGTAATTCACGCCTAGAAATCGATTTATGTCAATTAAAATGTATTCTATCCTCTGAGTAAATTTACCGAAAATTTTCCCTTTCTCTAGTAACAAATGATGCTAGTATAATTTCGAAATACACGATAAATATCTAGTTAAATAAAACCAAGTTGCATACTAAATTATAGTAGACCGCAATTACCTGTAACTTTCATTGTCCGCCGACGTCACTTTCTAAGCGCGGACTCTATTTAAATATCAAACACGATATCCTCGTTCAGATGATCCACTATAAAGACTATTTTAATAGCCGACAGGGCAACGAGCTGTGTGAGCGATTGTGTCGGCGCACAGACGTGCGACCGATATGTTTTTTGTCTGTAAAATGGGAGCACTACTCATCAGATAGCGTTACAAAAAGCCGATGACGGAGCCTTCACAAAGGCGCCACCGTCCCGCCTCGATTACGCCCTATGACAAAGCATTTTGTTTCGAACAACACTCCATATTGATCCAAACAACTCGTCTATTTTGTTTGGCCTTTATTACATTTTTTTTACTCC